ACCCCGGCCCCCCCTCCCCCCCCCCCCCCCTGGGCATATCGAGTATTATTTTCCTTCCAAGTTTCCAAGCATATACATGCATACGCATACGTTTATTCTCTCACGATCGTTTACGTTACGTTAGTCGATAGATTATTACGTCCACTGGTCAAATTCGCATCCCTCGTACGTCGCCCGATCGCTTGGAAAGAGTAAAGCTTGGTTTCTTCGTGCGTCGCGTGAATGCCAGCCATTTTACCTTACGAACGGCTATTTGTTATTACGAATTGCACGAATCAATGAAATTAGTTGCCATCGACGGTAAACGAGTATTCGGAATGTACGCGAACAAAGTCGATCGCGCACGCCCGCCAGCGTTATTCGAAAAAAAGCGAAAACGCAAGCAAATCGGAGCATCGATAGCAACGGTACCGCTACTTTTCACGCGTTCCATCCAATACCAGAAAAATATATCGAGCATGAAATCATTCTGGTTCTCATCGGCAACCTAGTTGCCGGTTAACTTTATCGGTGCATCGTTCCAAAACCAGATCATCGAACGATAGATTGGTAGCCTGCCATGATCTTGTTTTCTCGCATAGATACGCTTAACGTTGATTCAGATCAACGGCCAGTTGTTTGGTCAAGTAGCAACTAAAGCCGAATTTACGCTCTTACGCTTTGCAGGATTATCGCGCACGATTTTACCAACGAGGACGAAAGCGATATTTTTCCACGAGTCGTTCATAGCGATCGTACGCGGTGAAACGGCATAGGTGAATTCGGCTTTAACTACTAATCTAATAATCTAATAAAAAACTAATAATCGGCTAATAAACTACTGGCCGTGTATCCGAACCAGTCTCTAGCCTCGCGTCTCCAAGACGTACGTACATCTTGCCCGATCAACAAATTCAACCACCGGTCTATCTCGGTGTTTGGATTTCTCCGATATACGCATTGGTGTACAGTCGATTCTATTTCTATGTCATCGTATCCGACGTTCTAATTAAACCTGGCCATTTCGCTCGAGTGTTCCACTCACCTAACGTATCGGGCTGGTTCGCCACGTATTTACGTATCTGACCCCAGGCTAAACGTTCGTATATTTATCTGCGCCTACGTACGCGCGTACACGTACACGCGTGCCTGTTGGCGTTACAATGAAACAACTTTATCAATCCGGTCGATAAGTTTCATTAACTTGTATCGTATTAAAGTTATATCGACGCTAAATTATTACGCATCGCGTACCTGCACGCATAATCGGTTCATAGTCACAGCGATTCGATCAACATACATACATACAGAAGAAATATAGTTTCGAAGAAGAAAATCAATTTTGAGTCAAAGATATAGCAATGACGTAGCTCTTGAAACACGTAGTAACTATGAAGGCATTTCTGCTTGATTCTAATCCAGAATCCTAACGATAAACGATGCGTACGGAAAACGTTAGTACAGTGCTGACAATGAGTTTTCAAACTTTCGCCATCTAGCGTTACACGTTGAAGCGCGATTAACTCTTACGTGCCAAACATCTAGTTTATCGACCATAGAAATGCTCGTTATTTAGATAGAAATGACTGAAAAAAGAAAGAAAAGAAAGAAAAGAAAGAATTCATATTCGTTGTTACGAATTCTTCTTATTATCGTTATTACTACCACTACTAGTACTGTCCCGGATACGTACAATTTTTTCGTATCTGTTGCTCGTTAATTTTTCAGATTAACTTTTCTTCGGTTCGAACACTGAAACGTAATTTGCATGCAACGGCGTTTTGTTTCATCTATCAACCGACGTATCGGGTTTTAGGCGTTGGGTAGTGCGGCTAGTGCGATGGTAAAGATACTTAGTAGTTATCAATTACCAATTAGTAATCGCTATTGCTACAGCAATTGGAATAACAATAACGGTAGTAGTAACGGTAATAGTAAAATAGTAAAATCGGTTAGGATAATAACAGTTATCGATATAAATAACAAGGTAAGATACATGATAACGGTACCGATGGAGCTGGTAATGTCGATGATAATGGAATTTGTTTATTTCAACTTTTGTTAAGAATAAAATATTTACAAAAGCGATATTACGTAATAATACAAGTATAATAATACGAAATACAATTTTTTCATAGATAACATCGTTCGTAAAACGTATCGATAGCTAATAGCATTAAAAGTAACGTGTTTAGTTCGAGCATATATATATATATACGTAGCAGGTATATACGATACGTACGATCCTATACAATCCGATACAAATAATGTATAACAAACATTTACTATCGACACCGAATAGCAATTGTATCCGATATTTTTCAGTTTGAATATATTTTATTTCCCATCAATCTCCGAAACGAAACAAATCTAAATTACTGAAACGTGATGGTTGGATGTACAACGCACGCAGGGAGAATTACTACTACTACTATTACTACTACTACTGCTAGTACTACTACTACTACTGCTAGTACTACTACTACTACTACTACTACTACTACTACTACTACTACTACTACTACTGCTGCTGCTAGTACTACTACTACTACTACCGCTACTGCTACTACTACTAGTAGTACTACTGCTAACTACTACTGCTACTACTACTGCTACTACTACTGCTAACTACTACTGCTAACTACTACTGCCAACTACTACCGCTAACTACTACTGCTAACTACTACCGCTAACTACTACTGCTACTACTACTGCTAACTACTACTGCTACTACTACTGCTACTACTGCTACTACTGCTACTACTATTATTACTACTACTACGTGTTGCAAGTTTCAACTTTTAATACGTTTCATAGGTTTCTACGAATGGACGGTAAACTTATATTTAAAACTCCGAACGAACGGAAATCAGTCGAGGCAACCACTAATAATTTTACCTAGTAATAGTCTTATAGGTGCCTCGAAGCAAACATCAGCTTCTGTTCGTGCTCGTTAGAGAGTCTAGAGAACGCTTTGAAAGTTTTCGAATTGGACTATGCGCGTACGGCCGCAAATATCACAAATTCAACTTCTCCCTCGTTTCGTGATACGTTAGCGCGACACCTTTGAAACTGCTGCTAGTCACACGTTATAAACCGCTTCGGAATGATGCGACTGCGAAGGTACGCAGTATCCGCTGTACGTTTTAATCTCCAAGATGCCGGAGTAAGATCTTGCTGGCAGCGATCCTGGATCTGTGTGTCTCCTTGGACATCGATGACCTTTTGGACACTGGCAAAGAGGCGATGCATTTACCTCTTCGAGTTGCGAGCTCCGTCTCTTTCGTACGGTGAACAGTCGGCAAGGTTCCTTATGCTGACAACGAAGTCTCTGAAATATCAATTTTATTCGTAACGATCGACTCGGTTTTATTCGGTTGCTCGCCCCTTTCACCTTTCCTACGATTCGCTCCGCTCCGATCACTCTCGACCTTTCAACATGATTCCAATGATTCCATGTACATAATCGAATACATGGTACAGATTTATCAGTGAACGAGAATGCGGTCGCGGACATACGAGTAAACGAGTAAACGAGTAAACGAGAAAACGAGAAAACTTACGCTTTGCGGAGAACAGGCGAATGCGTATATAAAACCTGGGCTTCCCTCCGCAGACCTGTAAGCCTGCCTTCGAACTAGATAAGGTACGCTGCCTGGCCGACATCGGCAATAAACTCGCTGAACCGTCGCGTTCGCCGGGCCCCCTCCAGGAGCTAAAGTCCAGGTGACGTCTCTGTAAACAGAAAACGGCCATCTTGTGTACAACAAGCGCGTAATAACTCTAGCGGACACGTAAAACATTCGCGAATCGGTACGTTTGATCGTTCCGCTACTTGATATATACTCTCGATTAGACGGACGATCGCGACTAACTTGAAGTAACGACAGATGGGTAGACGTTTCACCGGCTCGCAAAGCTTGTACTGCCTTGTTTTATCGACTATCGTGTGGCCGTCGTCTCCGTGCAAACTGCTGGGGCAGGTACGACCATCCGGGCAACGACATTGTCTCTCGACCCACGGTGATCCGTATAAATCCACCTTGCTACAAACTTGGCTTCGGTCCAAACACTCGGGCAATTCGTCTTCGCTGTCCTGAAAAATCAAAATTAACAAACACGCATCGAGAGCAACGCTTCTGTTCACCCTTGCGCTCCTCTGTCTGTTCGACGCGCATGCTATTCTTTGTTCGCGATTAGTTTGCCCGATCCTCTACGTTTTCTCTTCCCCTTTTCCTCTTTCGCTTCACGAATCTAGCCTACCCTTTTGACACTTTTTCACTTTATCATCGCTTACCCTTGATTGCTAGCGTGAAAAGTGAAAAGTAAAAAGATTCGATCGCTCGTTATTCCGCTTTATCGCGCGTAATACGTATAGCATGCACTTTCCTAACGAAGAAATAATTCCAAGTCGTCCAATCGTTTTATGTCCAATCGGTCGTTCACTCTACTCCCTACGCTCGATTTTAAGCACTAGTCCTCGAACGGTAGGAGTTATTCGACCGAACGAACGAAAAACAACACCGAGATCCGTTAGTCCTTTGAAACGAACACTAATAAAAGCAACAGCAGCACGATCGATAGCGGATCACGGTCGCTGCGTACCGTTCTCAGCTTGACCCCGCTTCGCAAGGAAACGCGTCGCGTTTGGCCTATACCGTATACCGTGTACCGAGTACCGTGTACCGTGTACCGTGTACCGTGTACCGTGTACCGTATACCGTATACCGTATACCGTATATCCTACACTCTATAGGGATAAAGAATCGGAAATACTATTCCCGATACTTTGCCCAATAATTATAATTTAACGTTTCTCCCTGTTCGTTTTATTCGTCGGTAGACGATCGATCGGTCAATTAAGATTAAACGCTAAACCACGGGTATGCTGCTTAGTCGTATATCGAGAGCGTACCTTAATGCGTACCTTAATGCGTACCTGTGTTACGATCAAGAAATCGTTCGATCTATTTACCTATTTGCCTATTTGATATCAGGTTAAACCGTTCACTCCACGATTTGATGGATCAATCGTAATTAATTAATCGTATCGCGTTTAACTCGTTGCTATTTCAAAGGATTAGTCACTCGTTTAGCTTTAAGGTGGTTAAGTTGACCTCGAGGTTCAGTTTTAAAATTCCTTCCCTTCTTTGTCATAAACATTTATACAAACAGATACTCTGCCAGCTTTTCAAAAAAATGCCTTTTAAAGTTTATTTCGTCATCTGTATAGATACTTGAACATACATACATGCATCGAAACTATCGAAATACATCGAATAACGTGTCTTTCTATTGTATCGTTACGTTCCACGTACTTGTATTAATCGAAATATTGGTAAATCGATTCGAGCTAATTACACGATTCGGCGGTTGTTTTAACTGCAATCAAAAGTGAATCGAAGAAAATAGAGGGGATTGCGTCGAGTAGGAGAGAAATATACGAGCACGTGCGCGAAAGAGAGAAAACGATCGAGCAAAGGAAGTTCTGTGTAACATGGTCAAGAGGTATGTGTCTCCCCTCTCTGTCGAAGAATAGACATCTGGTCTAACTACGCTATTCAAACTGCGTCGGTCAATCCGCTGAATGAGGCAATCACGTACGTCCTGTCGACTCGTCGTTTGCAATCTACGTGCTGCTCGAGCACCTAAGTTAAACTTCTTCTCAAATACCCTTTCTTATTGTTAGACCTTTGCCAGTCTGCGCTTCTGCTTTCTGCCCCTCTTCCTTCTCCTTTCCCCCCCCCCCCCCCCCCCCCCCCCCCCCCCCCCCCTCCCCCCTCACCCCCCCCCCCCCCCCCCCCCCCCCCCCCCCCCCCCCCCCCCCCCCCCCCCCCCCCCCCCCCCCCCCCCCCCCCCCCCCCCCCCCCCCCCCCCCCCCCCCCCCCCCCCCCCCCCCCCCCCCCCCCCCCCCCCCCCCCCCCCCCCCCCCCCCCCCCCCCCCCCCCCCCCCCCCCCCCCCCCCCCCCCCCCCCCCCCCCCCCCCCCCCCCCCCCCCCCCCCCCCCCCCCCCCCCCCCCCCCCCCCCCCCCCCCCCCCCCCCCCCCCCCCCCCCCCCCCCGTCCCCCCTCTCTGTTCGCTTTCTTCCTCTCTAGCCTTTATGCTTGAAAGCATCATCGCATTTAAATATAAGATCGAGGATAGCGAAACACGATGATTAAATTTTGAATTTTCATTTCTCTTTGCTTCGACGATAATAACAAGAATAATAAGAACAAAATCGAGAAGAATAACAAGTACTACTATTTTACTACTATTTATTATTTAACTATTTTGAATTTTTACGATAACGATACTAGATACGAGATCGATCGATCGATCGTTGATATAATAATAATAATAATAATAATAATAATAATAATAATAATAATAATATATCGGCCAACCAAGTCTCCTTTAAAATGATCCTTCACTTTTCCCACTCCTCGTACCTGCTCGTTACCGATTGTGAATTGCGAGTCCCTTCCGTTCTCCCATATTCCCTTCTCTTCCTTCTGTCCCCCCCCCCCCCCCACACCCCGCCCCCCCCCCCCACACACACACACACCTTGCCTCTTCGTCTTAACGTTCCCAGAAGATCGTACGTATTAAAACTTCGGTGGCTGCAAACTAAAATGGGATAATAGGGAGACCGGAAAGGCTGTGCGTTCCATCCGGAAATTCTCACGCGTCTCTCGCTTCTCTCATAGCCGCAGTGAAAATGACACCTGGTTCTCGAGCTGTAGTTGTAGTCCCACGCGGCTGGCACGCGTGTGCGTATGCTTGTGCTCGCGCGCTTCCATATATACGCGTATACGTACCCATATATATGCGTTTGGCTATGTATCAGCACACGTTACAACTAATGACGCAAAAAGTACACGAAGCGATCAATCGGAAGATGCCGCTTACAACATCCTTGCCTATCGCCTTGCATTACTTCTATGAAATTTTATATATGCTTGTTCGTTTCTTTCGCTATTCGCTTAACCAGGTATAGAAATTTCTGCCGTCTCATTAGTTTACATTGCAGGATGACGAGAAGACGAGAATAGCGGAATACAGGAAGAACCAGTACAGAGTAAATAAGATTACTTTAAATGCTAAAATCTCGAGCTGGCGTACTTTTCTGTTTCTATTTTCATCTTTCAAAAACAATTAATCCATCAACGTTGAGCAACGATAAACAGAAATAGAATATTTATAATAGAACTATATATAATAAAACATTTCGATATCACAAAATATTTCTCGTTATCGTTTCTGTGTTACGGATGCCGTAGATGATGCGCGTATCGTAGTAATTACCGTGTTGCTACTGATTTGAAAACAATTAGTCAAACGATTGCGCAGCTTATTAAGAATAACACGTCCGACGAATGAAACGAACAAAGACGCGAACGACGGTTACGCGGTAACGATGTAATAATTCGTAACAGACAAGCGATAAAAGGGACGATAAGCAGAATCGACGATTTACGACGACTACTTACCCCGATTTGGTAGAGCACCCTGGGCGGCTGATGTAACGTCGGTCGATGTTTCTCTTTCTGATCGATCAAATCGAGTTCGATCGCTGTATCTTCAAACTCCTGTAACTCGGCCAGATGCTTGCCATCATCGAGAGACAAATACTCGTTGAGAAATTTTTCACCGGTTTCATCGAGCTCTACGCCAAGGAGACTACCCTTGCTCTCGCGAACCAGCAATTGCCCGAACATTGCTAGCAAGAAACAGATCAAATCGGCCATCCTTTCGCGCGCACGCGATCCTTCCTGCCTCTCGCGACGATCACCGATCATCCAACAAATATCCAGACCACGATGTAAACAATGCAGTTGCCGATTATCGAATAGAATGGAAAATGAGAAATCAAGATAACAGCATTAACCACGCAATACATTCGGACATGAGGAACAGCATATGCGTGTAAATTTACATACGCGTTCATATATCTCACTATATATGAGCAGCTATATTAGTAGCAGCACTGCTGTTCGTCGCAAGTATTATTCCTTCTCCATCGTCCATCTATGCATACAGTACTACTATCCATTCGACCACTATCTACCGTCTATCGAACGACTAGTTGACTCTCGTCCTTTCTTATGCCGTTCCAATAAACCTAACGATACTCTATATACCGAATATCGTAGAATTTAATAATGCTTTCAAAACATTCTTTCTAGAGCTTTCAACTTGTTTCTTACAGCTTCCAACTCGATCGCACAAATTAGTCAAAATGTGTACTTGTCGACTTTGTTTATCGATGCTGGATACATAACGTAGCAGTAAAATCCATAGAAGAACGAGATCGTTCGATACGTTCGCTCTTATAACGATCAAAAACTAAACGTCACTTTACAAAAGTCGGAACACTTTGCAAAGGTTGCATCGCGGTTGCCCATCCAACGAATCCAAACAGAGCTTCCAATCTAACTCGTTCTTTCGAACGTGAAACTGAATTTTCCGGTTCTTCGCGTTATCGCACTCAATGAGAAAACACATTCACCGGCAGTGAACAGCAACGTGGCTGACGTTGCACGCTCGCCGAAACAATTACGTTCTACTCGATCGCTACACACGCTCTATCTCGCACTGTATTTTTTGTGTCCTTGCGTTCTCCACGTTCTATCTTCTTTATCATACGTCCTACGTTCTACGTCCTACGTTCTACGTCCTACGTCCTTGCGTCTTGCGTCCTACGTCTTGCATCTTGCGTCCTACGTCTTGCGTCTTGCGTCCTGCGTCCTACGTCTTGCCTCCTGCGTCCTACGTCTTGCGTCCTGCGTCCTACGTCTTGCGTCCTGCGTCCTACGTATTGCGTCCTGCGTCCTACGTCTCGCGTCCTACGTCTTGCGGCTTGCGTTGTTGACGTGATTTACGTTTTGCAATGCGATTCGATTTAGTCCGAGGTTAAACGGCTCGCAACATTCGTGCTGCACAAGCGTATACTATTCGTTCGACTGGACTTGTAACAGCTAGAGGCAAAACATGAATGAGTCCCCCTTCTCTGCTCTTCTTTTTCCACTCCGCTCCATTCCATTCCACTCCACTCTACCCCACTCCATTCTACTCTTCTCCGCGCCACTCCATTCCACTCCACTCCACTCCACTCTACTCCAAACTACTCCAATCCACTCTATTCCCCTCTTTTCGTTCCTCCACCACATTGCTTCCCTCTAGTCCAATCTACTCCATTCCACTCCGCTCCACTCCACTCCACTCCACGCCACTCCACTCCACTCCACTCCACTCCACTCCACTCCACTCCACTCCACTCCGCTCCGCTCCACTCCACTTTGCTCCATTTCACCGTCTCCCTTCTTTCCTTGTATCCTTGCTTACGATTAGACATTTTCCGTTTTGCCCTCTAGTTTCCTTTCCTCTTATATTATACTTTTATTTTATATTTGCTTCATTCTGTCCGAATTTATGGAAAAATGGTGAAATTTAAATGATTTGACTCTGGTTAACCAATCGAAATAAACTATAATTGATTATCAAATAAGTAAAAGTATATTGTATCCTGGAGCCGTTTGGAAAGTTTCGGAAATGCAAGTAACCCGATAAAATTAGGTAGTTCTTGGAAAACCGTTCATATCAAAATTTCCAACGCGATATAGACGGGAAAATAAAAAGAAAATAGTCTACGTTGTACGTGGAAATATCGATGGGAAGAGGTGACGCGAAACAGATAATCGGTGCGGATGCTTACCTACCTACCTAGCAAGTAGGTACTTTTACACACGTATAGTCTGTAGGCGGTGGTTCGCGCGATCCACGCGATCCACGCGATCCACGCGATCATACGTACAATAATATTCTAAAGATGATAATATTCAAATGCTCGAACTCGCCTGTTAAATGGCAAAAGCTTTCTACCTACTTTGACTTTGCCGGTATATTTCGACCGTTCTTTTTTCCCTTTTCTTCGCCGTTATAGCCCGAACCATCCTCCTCTCGATACTCTGCACCTGCGCCCATCGAGTATCTCCCTTTTTCCTAAATATTTCGTTACGCGGTTTCCCACGCGAAAATATTTACACTCGCAAACCAAATTTCTCCCAGCACAATAACGAAAGAGACAGCTGATACGCATCTATGTTTATGGAACGGTTTGCGTATCCTTGACGTACACCTGAATTTTCCGTCAGCTGGATATTTCTTTCGAGCAAATCTTTACGTTCGAACAAACTCGTGGATCTTTTCTTTCGAAGGATCACGATATTGTACACTCAATATTTCTACCGTACTAAAACGTCGATCCTCGACTTTTATATCTTCTTGTCTCGTAATTAAAAGTCCGCATTTACGTTAATGGCCTGACGCTATATTACTTGAAAACAATAGACGATATGCTAAATCGTAACAGATTTTCCAAAGTTCTGATCGTGAGTTTGAGAATCGCTGTTTCATTGATCGACGCTGCAATCCATTCACTCGTACCTTTTTTCTTTTCTTCTACTGCTCTTTATTCTTCTCCTTCTTCCTTCTTCTTCTTCTTCTTTCTCTATCCACCTGCATCGCGTTAATCTTACTCTCCTCTTATTTGTGAAAACAGATCGAAATGAGACCCGATTCGCTCCGCTCCGCTTCGATCTGATCCAATCCGATCCGATTTGATCCGATTTGATCGTGCCTCGTTTCGTCTCGTGCCTACTTTATTTTTATCTTATTCCCTCAACTTTTACATGTATTTCGCAACAGATTTCTTTATTATAAATATTATTTAATCGTAACGTATAATCTTAACGAGCGAATCTCGTATCTACTAAATGCTAAATCTGAATGTTTTGCTCTATAGTCTTTATGTAGTTTGTTTCATCGCTATGGTTTCATGTACAATCTTTTAAGGCTTAGACGATACACGTTAAATTTTAGAAGACAACGTCTTACTTCGCGTGGATTTCAACCTTTTAACGAGGAACGATATTCATCGTAACGTTTCAACAAGTTCGCTCTCTTCGTTCGGAGAACCACTGTACGTGGCATGAATGAATTCTTGCTATCGAAGAGGGGAACGAGACTCGGTTACGATTCGGCGAGGAGCTTGAGAGCAAGGTGGGACAGAAAGAGTAGAGCATCGAGATAAAAGTCGCAGAGGGGAATCGTAGAGTTGGACGTATAGTTAGTTAGAGGTGAAACTCTCAACTCTCAACAGTGAGATTGCGGCATGGTAGAGAGAGAGTGTGTGTGTGTGTGTGTGTGAGAGAGAGAGAGCGCAGCGTATTGGTGTCCATGCATGTGTATACGGTGAGATCGTAACGTTACGAGTAGGTAAAAAAAGGGGAGATACGCCAGATTCTTGCATGTACCGGCGATGAAAGAAGGATGGAAGAGGACAGGCGAGTGCAGGTGCCGCAACCTACGACCGGAAACTATCCTCCTTGCTGCGACTTTTAATGCAGTGCAACTACGTCTTCACCGTCCTAGGGAAGAATGTCGATCGACCAACAGAAAAAGAAATCACACGATTCTAGCGATGGAACGGTACCCATCGACGTAACCATCTTCCTCATTTATCAATTTCCTTTCCTTATCAACCGTTTTTATTCCCATAAAAGCAGAAAGAAGATCCTTTCGATAAATAACACCATTATCAATGACTCGCCGCCATATTCCACTTTTCTATAAATCGAAATAATCTGGCAAAAAAATAATGTATACCCAGAACATTTTCTCTCACCACAAGCTACCCAACTAAATTATTCCCTGCGAATGAATTCTATAATACATGCGTAGCTCTAATAGGTTTGATTTTGTTTCAGGAAAACTGTATGCGGCATTTGGAAAGAGACAAGGTCGTGTAGTTGCCGCGGAAAGTGCTCTCGGATTCGGTGGACAGTTTCGCGTGCTTGCGACTTTACCTGTGCCAGAGAGCTTTCAACTTGCCAGAGAATTGCGAACACAGACATCCGGGCTGGCTAGTCCTCAACTGGTTTTCAGTCATTGGGAGGCAAGTTTTTCCATATAAAGAGAACACGCAGACAATATCTCGATGTTTTCCCGTATTTCTTCGTCGCGTTATTCCATTCGCGTCGTTCAATTATTGCTGACGATGGAAATCCATCTGATCGGTTATATACACACATATATATATATATATATGTGTGTGTGTTTGTGTGTGTATATGCACACACACAAACACACACACACACAATATATATATATATAACCCTATATGTGTATATATATATATATATATATATATAGGTTATAGAGTTATATCATGGTTAATCAGTTATTAATCATCCGAACGAGTCAAAGTGATCCTCTCTTTCCTCTCGTAAACACTTACTTCATTTGTTTGTTTATATTGCTCTTCTAGCTATTTCACAAACAATATGCTGATAAATAAATGCAAATAATTTAAAGTTTTATTCGATTACTTCGTGTTGCTGTTGTTTTACCATTTGATAGAAATCTTGGGATCTATTGTAATTAATTAATTTAATGTAATTAGTTAACGTGTTAAACATGTTATTTAGTGGACAAATTTTGTATGCCTTAAAGTACAGCGTCCTAATTGCAGCAGCATACTTTCGCTTGTCTTAACACCATACACGTTACTTATCGCGTTAAATAGCAATCTATAACGTAACGTGACATGTGTACATACGTATATCTCGTTAAGAAACAAACTATTTCGGCGCTTTACATTGCAATTTTGATATAACAGGTTTTTCTTTTTTTTTTTTTTTTTTTTTTTTT